AATGGTTGGATGAAGTATGGCGCAAAAGATTCTCAACACATGAACAAAAGCGTAGCTTATTAGTGATGGATTCTTTTGAAGAGCACCTTACAGATTCTGTTAAGAAAAAATGTAATGAATTGAATATGGTTAGGGGTATAATTCTTAGCGGACTTACTTTACTAGTTCAGCCTCTTGATGTGTGCATTAACAAGTCATTTAAAGACCGAATGCATGGAAAATGGCAAAATTAGATGGCGCTTGGTGGCTTCGAGCTTACAAAAGAGAAAAATTTAAAAAGACCTTTGTATGATCTTATTTGCCAATGGATAGTTGAAGCGTGGAATGATATTTCGGTTGATATAGCCATTAATTTATTTAAAAAATGTGGTATTCCTAATTGTATCAAAGAGTTAGAAAAACAAGTGATAGTTTCAGCTAAGGATATAGAAAACCTTCCAATTTCAATTGTTTACATAGAAAATTCAGAGAATTTGCCTAAGCACTAGTTAGTAATTATTTCTTGTTGTTTAAAAAAAAACTAATCTAATCTATATTAATCTATTATTTTATTATTAGAAAATATGATAGTGTCGAATAATGTATATTTTATTAAAATATCTACAATAGCATATAGAGTTTTGAATTAGAATTGTGATTTCTACAATATATTGCGAAATTAAAATAAAGTTACTGTATATACAAATATAAAATATTTTATTTGCTGTTATTATATATAATCGTTTGATGGATTTTGACCTATAATCACTATTAAAAAAAATCAAACTTATGATATTTTCCCCGACAATGTTTGTTTTTTTTTCCTAGTAATTCTTGTATTAATTTCAGAATCATTTTCTTTGTACAATAATTATGATATTTTTATTTTCTATTTCAGGAAAATTACAGTAAAATTCCTATCATTTGAGGCCCAAAGAGCCTGAACTTACTTCTTATTTCCACTCACATGAAAAAAGATAGTACACGTGTGGATTTGATTTTCTTCAATCAATTAATAACAGTGATATTTATTCAATTGCTAGCCAATAATAATATTTTTTTTAATTCTTGGTGATATTCACCTCGATTATAGCTGTTTTCATTATTTTGGAACATCTATGTAGTAAAAATTGACTCAATGATTGTTTGATCAATTTGGTAATTTTTTGATTTCGGTAATGAGTGATGTGATACATATCTTGCTAATGTCATTTTAATTTTTGCGCTTCAGATAAGTGCTTGGATATTTAGATTCAAACATTAGTTCAAACAAGCTAAGCATTTTTAAAATATTTATTATAGACAAACAAGTTAAAGTTCCTTAATTGTTAGATCAACCCTTTCAATATTTTATCTAATTTGATTTTAATAATTCATTGTAATTTATATTACATAAGGATACTTTGATAGATTTTTACTATAATATCTATTATTTTTTTTGATTAGCATCTCTTTGTAGAATATATTTATTATAAAAGCTTACTTATATTCAGAACCCTTTTTGTTGATAAGATCTGTTGTAGAGATTGTGCTTATAAAGAAAATCTCTGTCCAGATATTATTAAATTATCTGGTTATCCTGATAATTTATTATAGCCAGATAATAAAAATTCCTATCCGGTTACAATCTCTAATCTGTTAGTTGGCAAGAACAATATTCGTCTGTACAGACTAAACACTTCAAACATGCTAGACATACATTCAAGTGAATCTTAATTTTGAATGTGTTAATATTATAGTATTATTTAAAACACAATCACAAAAAATAATACCATTATCATTATCATATACTAAATCAAACTGGCCAAATAACTATTTAGTCAATTTTTTACCAGATATCCCAAAATTAATAATTTATTGTAAATTATAGCTAAGCTTTACTTGATTCTAATTTTCTATCTGAGATGCATTACAACCTTTAATCTATATTAAATTAAACATTAAACAATATTATTCACATAGGGTTCTGCAAGTGCTAACACATGTATTATTAAAATGTGTCTTTTCCTATGCGTTTTAATAGATACATATTGGCACTTGCAAAACTTTAATTCACATAATTTACACATATGTGATCTAAACTATATCTACACTTGCTTGTATGGATTAATTGGGTTTAAAAAAAACCCTCCTGAAGCTGTGATTACAGGTTTTTTTTCATAAAGCTACTAAAATCTGCTACGTATTAATAATGACTAAAAAAGACTACTAAAATACATTTTTTTTGGACTTCAGTATAACCATCACTACATAAAAACTAATATGCCTACCTTCATATTAGAAATACTTATAGCCAATTAAAAATACTCAGAAACTGATATACAAAAGGCAAATACTTACTATCTTAAATTATTATTTTTTTGATATATTTTACTGCTTTATTTAAGTAGATGCTAAAGCCTTAGATGCTAAAGTTTCGGGTGTTAGTTTTAGATAGTTAGTTTTTTTTTGAAATTATAATGGTAATGGATTGAAAGATAAAAAGAAATAGCTTAAGTACTAGTTGTTAGTTATGTATTAATTAATTATGTGTGGTGTTTGAGCGAAATACTTAAAGTCTAATACGTATACATGATATAGTATTATTAGCAGTATATAATTTTTTAACCAATAATGTTAAATTATGTAGATTATGTCTAATTTTGGTTAAAGAGTGCTTATTTTCAGAGATTAATAATTATTTTAGGGGGTGTTTATTTTCAGAAGGTGCTTATTTTCGGCGATTTAGGGTAACCACTTTTTGTTACTCAATCATATAATAATTGAACAATTTTTAATAACCAAATACTTAAACTTTCCAATTAGAACTACTCACTTTAATACTTTAAACTTTGATGACAATCTTAATACTATACCTTCTATAATAGAAAATCCAAATTTTAATGAACAAGAATATTAAGTTTATTACTCTTAATATAGCATCACTTAATGTAAATAGATTACTTCAACCTACCAAAAAACTACTTATCAAAGAAATACTTAACCAAAACTCAAGTGATATATTCAGACTTTCAGAAACCCAAATCTCATCCAAAGAGGGTAAATTCTTTAACAGCAAAACTCCAAATTACATTAGTTACTGGAGCTTCTTCTCCAACCCACACCAAGCTGATGTAGGATTATTTATACACAAAAACATTTCCAAGTATATAGCACGAACACATAGCTATAATAGACATATAATTGGACTTAATCTACACTTTAAAAACCTATCTATTAGATTACTCCAATTCTATATTCCTACATATGAAAAGAAACAACTTCGTAAAGAAGTTCAAGAACAAATTATCACACTTTGCTTAAATTCCAAAGATCAGATCATAATAATAGAAGACTTCAATAGTGTTCCTAACCCTTGAATTGACCATTTACCACCTAAATCAACATCAATACCTGAATCTCAACTCACCAAATTCCTTATTAGTCATCAATTTAAAGATATCTACCGCTTCTTTTTTTCTAATACCACAAACTTTACATTCCACTATGCCAACATTCACAGTAGAATAGACCAAATCTGGACTAATCTAAGTATTTCAAATATAGAATATACTGACATCTTTCCAAACACTATTTTTGAATCAGATCATAATATTATAATACTAGAACTATCAATTGTTATAAACAAACCAAAACCAAAAAAACAACGTACAAGGAAAAATTTCCTTTGAAAGAACTGTTCTAAGGAAAGTCTAGAAAACTATACTAATCAAACTATATCTAACCTACAGAATCTTCAGACACAAATCGATTCTATAACTAATCAAAATCAACTTAATATTTTCTGGCACAAACTTCAGAAAACTCTTCTCAAAGCTGCTACTAAACATATTTCTTTTCACAAAATTAAAACTATAAAAAACAATTAAAGAAACTATATCCCCAAAACAAACACCTTTATTTTACCGCTTCAAAGAAATTCAATATATTAAAAACTACCCTACCTCACCTAATTTCTCTACATTTTGTGAAAAATATATCGATCAATACCAAGATTGCTCTTTTCAAATATCAACACCTACAATATCTCAAGTTAAGGAAGAATTTCAAAAAATTAAAGCTGCTCTTAATATTCAACAATATCAAGCTACCTATCATGAAATCCAACAAAAGATCAAAAATCATAATTAATCTTTTCTAAAAACTCCCAAACTTTTCTATAAGAAAATTCTAGAGAGGTTTAATAATATATATATCGATAAACTACTTCTTGACAACTCTCTCTTAACAGAACAGAATGAAATACTCAATGCAATTTACCACCACTTTATAGAATACTTTAAAGAAAAACAACTCCAACCTATTCTACCTTCATCTTAATTCTATGATCTTTATAAACCACACCCTGAACATGAACCACTTTACAACAATCTTCTTCAGGATATCTCTGATCAAGAATGGCATGAGATTCTAGCTAACTTACCTAATCAAAAAGCAGCAAGTCCTTTAGAAATCTGCTATGAACATATTAAGTTTGCTAGTTCAAAGACTCAAAAACTCTTTAAACTCTTTTTCAATAAGTGTTTCCAACTCCAAAAAGTTCCAAAAGATTGGAAATCTTCAAACATCTTTTTTATTCTCAAAAAATCTAATTGGGATTTCACTCTTAATCAAGTTTGCCCAATTTCTATTATTGAGCCTTTTAAAAAAACTTTTACAAAAATCTTTACAAAGTGACTTGACCAAATCATTACCAATAACAATCTTTTATCAAATCTAAATTTTGCTGCTACCAAAAACTCTTCAACACACATTCCTATACAAATCCTTCACAACACTATTGAACACTACAAACTACATAATAAAGAGGCCTGGATTCTTTTTTAAGACATGTCCAAAGCCTCTGATAAAATCAATTTATTACATCTTCAGGACACTTGCAAAAGAATAGGTATCCCTACATCAAGTATAAACCTAATTACAGATCTATATTCATCAAGGAAAGCAAGAATTATTACTGCCTATGGACTCACATCCCCTGTAAAAATTCAATCTGAAATAGAACAAAAAGAAACATACTCTCCACTTTTATGAAAGATTTACTATGATCCTATTCTCTCCTTTATTCATCAAAAATACTACAACCAATTTCTGAAAGTCGCTTCACAATCTCCTCTTGATATTATCACTAACACTACTACTATGAGTATTTCTATTTCACTACTAGCTTTTATGGATAATACAACATGGCTTTGTGATAGCTCTACTGCTATGCAAAACATTTTAAATGATATATCTCAACTCTATGAGCTTATTTCAAGGCTAATTTGTTTAATTGAACCTTTTTTTTTAGTCACTAAAATTCTGATTAATGATCTCTTGTTATCCTTTAAACCGTCTAGCGGCTATATATGGCTGCTAAAATGTTTTTTTTATATATTTTTTGTAATTACTTAAAATTTTATTAAGCTTGACCCCC